CCGTGCCATTTTAACTTCCTTATATGCAGATTTGAACTGTTTTGTCGAACCGTAATTACACGGGATTCGAACCGGAGCTCCTCACCTCTCAAGTACGTCTCCGTACTCCGTGAGCTACCGAACAAACCTATCGTCTATGAAAACCCATTGATATGAAGCTGGATATGTGTGGTGCTAACAATCAAAAGCATCAGTTTTCAAATCGCCCAGCATATTAAAAATGTTTTGAAGTTACGACATAATACTCTTCAAGTAATTGTGCGAAAATTACGCTTTATTCATCGAAACTCTGTAAATCATACTCTGTGTGAAAATTATTTAAAAGGTGTCGGAGTTTTACTGCCTCTAGTGTTCATTTTTTTTGGAAACTGCAGTGATATGTACTTATTGGTACGTATTTCGCGTCTTGCAAAAATGTGCCCCCAGGTACGTATTTGCCATGAGACCGGGTAGCAAACAGTACTTTCAAAATGTTCTCCACTTGTGTTCAACAGAAGAAAGTAAGTCTCGGAACAACATGAGGATGATTAAAGGTCAGTTCTCAGTGCTGTTTCATCCCTCACAGGCTTTTGTCTTTTCCTTTGCTTTAAGATCTGTACGCTAACTGGTAATTTGGCTTTTAGTCACTCAGTCATCTACATGAAGGGGTATAATGAAGTTCATTACGGAGAGGTGTTTTGTGCTGTAGAAGTGTCACTGATGGTACAGACCTGTTTTGTCCACGCTATCCTTTTGTTTGCATTTCCCCTTGGTAACGGAAACGTCATCGATAGCGATGTCGCCCTCAAAGCCGTTTCCACGGATACCTTCGAACACCACCTGACAAAAAAAAAAAACCGCGAGTTAGACAGCCGTCTCGCCCGTGACACGTTTGCTCTGAAGACACTCTAGTTCATTAAAACGGACACATTTCTTCCATTCCCATCAAACACACACACACACACACACACACACGGACAAATTAACTGAAACATTTCATTTTTGTTTGGGACGTCACAATCAGCAACGGACAAAATTTACACAAACTGAACTCCAGCATCAACACCAATAACAGTGAGAAAACTCCCTAAGGACTGACTGACTTTAAAATGTATGAGTGTGAATTTAAATTGAATTGGCCACATCCCACAGGAAGCTGAATAACTCGATGCCAGGAAAGTACGTCTCCGTACTCCGTGAGCTACCGAACAAACCTATCGTCTATGAAAACCCATTGATATGAAGCTGGATATGTGTGGTGCTAACAATCAAAAGCATCAGTTTTCAAATCGCCCAGCATATTAAAAATGTTTTGAAGTTACGACATAATACTCTTCAAGTAATTGTGCGAAAATTACGCTTTATTCATCGAAACTCTGTAAATCATACTCTGTGTGAAAATTATTTAAAAGGTGTCGGAGTTTTACTGCCTCTAGTGTTTTTTTGGAAACTGCAGTGATATGTACTTATTGGTACGTATTTCGCGTCTTGCAAAAATGTGCCCCCAGGTACGTATTTGCCATGAGACCGGGTAGCAAACAGTACTTTCAAAATGTTCTCCACTTGTGTTCAACAGAAGAAAGTAAGTCTCGGAACAACATGAGGATGATTAAAGGTCAGTTCTCAGTGCTGTTTCATCCCTCACAGGCTTTTGTCTTTTCCTTTGCTTTAAGATCTGTACGCTAACTGGTAATTTGGCTTTTAGTCACTCAGTCATCTACATGAAGGGGTATAATGAAGTTCATTACGGAGAGGTGTTTTGTGCTGTAGAAGTGTCACTGATGGTACAGACCTGTTTTGTCCACGCTATCCTTTTGTTTGCATTTCCCTTTGGTAACGGAAACGTCATCGATAGCGATGTCGCCCTCAAAGCCGTTTCCACGGATACCTTCGAACACCACCTGACAAAAAAAAAAACGCGAGTTAGACAGCCGTCTCGCCCGTGACACGTTTGCTCTGAAGACACTCTAGTTCATTAAAACGGACACATTTCTTCCATTCCCATCAAACACACACACGCACATAAGGACAAATTAATTTAAACATTTCATTTTTGTTTGGGACGTCACAATCGGCAACGGACAAAATTTACACAAACTGAACTCCAGCATCAACACCAATAACAGTGAGAAAACTCCCTAAGGACTGACTGACTTTAAAATGTATGAGTGTGAATTTAAATTGAATTGGCCACATCCCACAGGAAGCTGAATAACTCGATGCCAGGAATAGGAATTATTCATTGTAATTCCACAAATTCAACAGAACAGAAGCTTTCATAAACAAGCTTTCTGACAAAAATAGATAATCATTTATGTTCTGAGTAATTATGCATGTTTATTCCTTTGTACATAGTAACTGATTTGACATAATTATCCAAACTGCTGTCAAAGCAATTAACATGAGCATCAAAACAGATTTTAATTTGACCATACAGCACCACAAAATGTCCACATTATTATTTTCAGATACATTAATAAAACATAAATATGATGACATTATGTGTGCATACTGCATATAGCAGACGAAATGGTAGAAAAACATAATTTTGAATATTAGTTCGAATTTATTACAGACCCTAGTGAACACCATAATAAAAAAAACTGAAGGTTTTTTTGTTTTGTTTTTCACAGGGCACATTGAAAATAACACAGTACTATATCAAACATTTGTACAGTAAGTTATAAAAATTGCATATTGGCCTATTCTTGGATTCTTTGCTGGTATTTATTTTCTCCCCATGTAAGCTGCGTTTGACTGACAGTTTAATTAAAGCAGCTCTGAAGCTCACTGCAGAGACCTAATCAGATGCATGTCAGCGTTACGTTCACTCTAACTGGAGTTTACAGAATTACCCCCTCCCCAGACACACACACACACGCACCTCTAAACCCCAGCCGGCAGACTAACGCACAAGTAATTGAAATGTATAAATGAGCAAAAGTGAACAGAGCGATTCGATACATTTAATCCACCCACAGCCCCTTAAAACAGATCTAAAGCAATTCACACTTTCTCAAACTTTGCAGAATGGGCTTTTAGTTTAGCTTTAAGGTTAGAAGAACTTTTGCATAACATGGACAAGATTTGTAGAGCTGTTATGGGCACAGGAAAGAGTATGGAGGCCAGGGCTGTTAACTAAAACGGTTTTGTTTTGTTTTTTGTTTTTTTAATTAAAATAAAGCAGAAATTAAACAAAAATATAAATTTTAGATAAAAAAAAATGAAATAGTTTGAGCACTTAAAATAAATAAATTAAATAAAAGTTGTTGTTGTTCTTTTTTTGGAGAGTGTATATGATTATTGGGTAACACTTTACTTGAAGGGGTGTGCATAAGACTGACATGACACCTTCATAATCATGACATGACACATGTCATGAATATGAAGGAGGTTTTATGCATGTTTATGACAACTGTCATTAAGTGTCATTTGCTCAGTTATGTAATTTTTAATGCAAATATGACATTATTTGACCTAACCCTACCCCTACCCTTACCCCTAACCATAGCCCATAACAAAGACATCTCAAACAATGTCATCTTTGCGTTAAAAATTACATAACTGAGTGAATGACACTTAATGACAGTTGTCATAAACATGCATAAAAAAACCTTCATATTCATGACATGTGTCATGTCATGATTATGAAGGTGTCATGTGCACACCCCTTCAAGTAAAGTGTAACCGATTGTTTCAATGTGATTTGAAGCAGAGAGGCAGTATGACGGTTTTTATTCAGCCGAAAAATGACATTTTCTAGCATGGTTCACACACTTGACCAGGTAAAGATAGCATGCATTGCTAAGTGCACACACTCTTGACCCGCATGCTTTAATGAACACAACACACAGACACACACACACACCTGCAGCATCACCCCGGGCTCCCACGGTGCCCAAATGAACGAGTGACTCTGAATAAATAGCAGAGGCTGAGCGGGATCAAGGGATGAGGGCAGATGGGTAATTTGATTAGTCTTGTGTGTGTAAAACAGTCTCTCTGTCTGTGCTAATTGGCTGCGGGGCCACAGTGGACGCCGGGTGACACGACATCATTAGGGCAATGTCAAGCAGCACTCCATAAGCATATCTGCTCACCTGAATATATATTCATGCATTACAAGCCCAGACTCTCAAACACACACAGAATGCATTTAACTCGCGGTACACTTCCAGAATTACAAGGTCACTGTAAGCATAAAAACACGCTCAAAGGGCAAACGCAAACATGCAAAACATGCACAAAGAGATCTCGCCATAGTCTGTTGTAGCAGTAATTGGTAGGTGAGGCGATGTGTGTTTTCTCTCTGTTTGTTAATGCAAATGGCTTCCTCTAACGGGCAGAGCACAGTTGACTTTAGTGGGTTGAGCTCATTAGGAGTATGACAGACCATTCACCTCTCACACATGAGCTCAGATGCCAGCGGAGACAGAAAGAAACAATTATGCGCAGCGTCTGAGAGGCGTAGGCATGCAGATGCCTCTCCAGCTCCATGTTCATTAGATTGGGTGAGATAGAGAGCAGCGTGCAGGAGCGGGGGAGAGATGGAGCTAAAGCAGAACTTAAAGAAACAGTTCAACCAGATTCTGTCGCTCTAGCTTTTGTGGAACGCAAAATGTGAAGTTGCACAGAATCTCGCTGCTGCTCTTTTCCATACAAAGACAAAAACAACAACCTGGGGCTGAACTTACATTTTGGTTCATTTACCACATAAGACTAGTGTATGGCTTCAGAAGACATTCACAAATATAGTACTTTTTTTAAACCAGATTTATGCATATTTATCCACAGCAACTTGCAAACAAGGAGAACAAAAAAAAAAACAATTCATTCAAAATCCTATTATATAAAAACCCAAAATTGATCATAGAAATACATGCTTTTAGTGTTCAATAGTTTGGAGTAATTCAGATTTTCAAAAGTGAAAATAAAAACTTTCATACTGCTTCAAATGATTCATATTTCAAATAAATGCTGTTCTTTTGAACATTATGTATTTAAAGTTATAAAAAAAAAAAAAAAAAAAAAAAAAAATTTTCCAAAAAATTATAAATAAAAAAAAAAAAACCATAAAAGAAAAAAAAAAAAAAAAAAAAAAAAAAAAAACAGTTTCCACAAAAATATTAAGCTAAACAAGAACAACTGTTTTCAACACTGATAATAATGATATTGTATTATTTATTTTTGCTTTGCACAGCAAATCAGCATATTAGAATGATTTCTGAAGTATCATGTGGATGTGGAATGATGCTGAAAATTCAGCTTTGCATCACAGAAATAAATTACATGTTAAAATCTACTGAAGTATAAAACTGCCATTATGAATTGTAATAATATTTTACAATTGTTTAATTTAAATACAATTGTTGAATGTTTAATTTTAAAAGTAGTGTTATCAGTGAGAATTAATTTTTATATTATGGTGTTATATAACCCTCCTTCTCATAATGTTTCGTTTTACCATGATTTTGATGAACTGTTTAAATTGTTTAATTGTCGCACTGAAACAATTTTACTGGAAGATTTGAATATAAATTGAAAAAAAAAACGTACAATTATTGCATATAAATATAAATTGCATCAAATGATAATGAGTCCTACAAGAATAACTCGAACTAGTAAAACATTGATAGATTTAATTTTTTACAAATAAACCAGAACAGGTTACAAAAATGTATAATTTGTTAACAGGTCTGTCTGATCACAACTTGAAAATAAAACTCAGAAAATTAACAAAACAACTATTTCAGAGCCGTTTTTTTGGAACCAGAGTTAATAATTCACAATAATAACAAACTGGGAGAGTATATTTCAGATTGATAATTTAAATGTGAGTGATGTGATTTTTTGATTGACACACTTGCAAATATAATCCAGAAGTTTACATGCCCCTTTAAAAGCAACAGGAGAAAAGTTTTGTTTTGCCTTGGATAAAAAATGATATTCATCAGCTAATGAAACAGAGGAATCTGGCACTGAAAAAAATCCATATCTACAAAACAACAAACAGATATATTGATCTTTAAAGGTTTAAGAAATAAAGTGGTTAGTGAACTGAGTAAAAAAGCAAAGTCATCTTATTTCATGCAGTTGTTTGCTGACGCACAGGGCAATAGTTCACTTATTTGGAAACATATGAATAAATTAACCAATCTGAAATTTAATCAAAGTAAAGGCATAATAAAACTGAATATAAATGGAAAGGTCAGTATTGATGCTTTGGAAATTGCTAATTAATTTAATACCTTCTTTGTTAAATCAGTAGAAGAACTTGCAACAAATTTCAATTCTATTTGTTTATCACATGACATAGTAAGAAATTCATCTCCATCTGTTTATATTTCACATGTTGATAAAGATAAAATTGGTAAAAAGTATTAATCAATTAAACAGTCCAAAAGCTAAAGATATTCGGCTTAGATGCTTCTCTTATTAAAAAACATAGTGCAACATTGGTAAGACCAATAGCTCATTTGGTAAATGTATCTATTAAAACTGGTGAGTTTCCACAAAAATGTAAAACATCTGTGGTGACCCCTGTTTTTAAGTCTGGAGAGACTGATGAGGTGTGTAATTATAGACCCATCTCAATCATTCCAGTAATTTCCAAAGTTTTAGAAAAGCTAGTGGTTAAGCAATTAATGAATTATCTGGGAAAAAATAATCTGCTAAACCCTAAGCAATTTGGTTTCTGGCCAAAATATTCAACAGAAATGGCTATATGTCATTTCATAGATACCATAAAAAGTAGTTTGGATCAAGGAAAAGTCGTGGGAGCAGTATTTTTAGACTTTAAAAAGACTGTTGATACTGTGAATCATGAAGAAGTAGAAAAGTCCATTTCTCCTGTGCATTTGTGTCCCTTTGTTTCTGGAGAAAGCAGAATGAGAGCCGGCTC